GGTGGAGAGGTGGAAATCCAGTAACTATAGACTTATTCACAACTAAAAGTCTCATTCCACCTTCATCTTCAGGCAGTTTGAGGTACTATTTCACCCCCGTTCATGTATTACGATTCAAAATGGCCTTGTGTTCTCTCTCCACAGCCTGACACACTGCAAATAGCAGTTCATACTACAACAGTAGCAGGCTTTTGTAGAAATTAAAACTAATAGCTATGAGCTATGGATTATTTTAGCAGCAGAGCCTAGATTCCTCTTCTTGCCACCTCTCAGCGATTTCATATGTCAGAATACAGGTAAAGAAACTGGAAACTGCAGGCCTTTTGTTTTGCAAAAGTCTACTCCATTCAGTTTTAACCCAATCAAACACCTTACACACACACAAAAAGAAAATTAATCAACAATTATTAGAAGGAATATAATTGTCCAGTTTATTAGAAGTATCAGCAGAGACTCAACAGGCACAAACAACTAGTTGTAGTGTTTTATCATCCCAAAGGATAGACATTTTGACATCAGGGTTAAGTCACATTGGCAGAAGACTATGTGGCACCTGGAACTACCACTGTCATAGTACATCTGCTCTGTGAATAAAAAGTCTCAAAACCTGTCATTCTGGAAACTTGTGCAACCATCAGGCAGAAGAAAAAATAATTAAGAGAACTGGAATAAATTGAGATCGTAAATCTAAGAAGCACGTCACCAGGGTGAAGTCCCAGCAGTAGTTAAAGGAAGGTTAATACGCTGGAACAATAAGGTTTAACAAATATGAAACCATTGCAGCTTAAAGCTGGAACAGAGCACAGCAGAGATATTCAAACCGCATTTTGTTTTTGACCAGGCCAGATTAAACACTGATTCCACCAGCCTCAACCATTAGTTTAAACTTAAATCTGTTTTGTGTTAATAGAAAGTCACAAGCAGCTGACCTCAAGTATCTAGAAGTAGTTCACTATTTACGTAGACTTCTCTTCCACAGTAAAGAAAGTATTTGTTATTTTTCTTCTTTTATTGATGCTTGTAACAATAGAGATACAAACCAGACAGATAAACACAGACTGAAGGCAGGAATGTTTATGACTTATAAACTGTGGCAAAAAGAACTGATAAGTCCAAGTTAAGGGGTCAGGTACTCAAACTCTTATGGGCATGAGTAACTCTGGCACGAGCATCCCCATTGCAATTGATTTCAGTGGGGCCAGGATATCACCAAGATCTCCGAGTGAAGAAACAAATCCTGCACTTTTTATTCAAGCGGTAGGTAAAACTCCTACTTCTCTGCTCACTTCTTTTGCACTTAGGTCGTCTTGCAGATTGCATGAGCAGTCCTGAAAGCATTTAAGAAAGATATTCCACTGCCAAACAGAAACCATTAAAACAGCTTAAGTCTATAGTGTTGAATTTTGTGCAGTGTACCTTCCATATAAATTGCACAACTGAATTTAATCACTAGTCTGAATGCATATTCAGGAAATCTAAGCAGCCCTCACGACTATTGGTAATAATTATCAGTAATAATCATACAAATACATAGGTAAGCATGTCATTTCAACACAACTGATAAAGTGTTCTGAGGATGAAAATAAGGATACATATAAATGACTTGCTGCGTGTGGCCAATGCAAAATGCCCCTATTTCTCCTTGCCCATCTGAAACAGGTTTATTCACTTTTCTGCTAACACTGTATGAGAGGCCAGGCTGACCTCCTAGGTTGGACTGTCTCTTTAATATTTTGTTAAATTGCTAACTTACTGTCTTTCATCCTAGAGGATCCATGTTTGAATACTTTCAAGTTTTACTGTTCTGCTCAAGTCTGAACTAGGAACAGGCAGCAGAGCCAAGACTGAAACTGAGAAATTCCTACAGGATACTAACAAAAGACAAGGAATCGGTCAATGCAAGTATACAGATGACTTCCAGAAGTAAAGGCAGAATACACAAATGGTTAAAACTGAGATATAGATGGAGACACTTCATACACCAGTTTAGGAATTCCTAACTATAAAAGGAATTATAGTTGGGAATTACCTCAATATAAATAATCAAGATTATTATTATTATTGATAAATGCAAAAGTAGCAAGGGCTTTCAGACCATTCAATAGATAAATATTTCTCTGCATACAGAGTATGGTAAATCTTTGGTCAAAAACACATTAGGTATTATTATTTTTTTTATTATTATTATTACTCATGCATTAAGGAATATAGAATGTTTGGATAATAATAATAATCAGTGCAAATAATTCATTCAAATGCCATCCTCCCCTTTTTTTTCTCCCTCTCAGCTCCTGTACTTCAGTACTTCAGTAGATCATATATTTGCAGATATATATAACGGATGTGACTTCAAAAATACATGCCTTCTATCCAAAACTAGTAGTTATCTGATCAGCTGAGATTTAAAAGGATAAGGTCAAGTTTATTAAACAATATTCTGAGTATCACCTATATGCCAGAGTAAATCTGGAAAGAG